CCCCGAGCGCGAGCACGATCTGCTGGAATTTGTGCCAGTGGCGTTTCTGCTTGCGGTAGGGGTCACTTGTCAGCTTTTCCGACATGTGGATGTGCGGGGGGCGCACAAGGAACTGCCGACAGACGAGCAGTGTGGCTTAGTGGTGCTGGTGGTTACTCAGCTCTGGTGTATATGCGTGTACATTCACGATGAACGATGAACGATATGTGATAAGCAAACGATAAACGATGACCGCGTAAACGATCTGATAGGTATGAACGAAATATGCCTTTTTCAAGCGCGGAATTCAACAAGGAAAGATCTGAACGGATACACTCGAGCTTTTTTGACGTCATACAGATTGGTGCAATCAATGCATTCTTTACGATTGTAACCTTGCAAAATAAATGACATTTTGTCAAACCTGAGCATCAGCACCGTTTACAAGCGTAAATTTACGGTTCTGTAGAATCAGCCTGAGAACGGCCGCATACTTTCGCTGGTACCGACACTGATACTGGCTTTTAATGTATTTAACGCGACAGACCAACAATATTGTGTTAAGCTGTCTGGTTTCGACCTCGCCATGCCAAGCCCGCTTCGGCGCCCCTGGTGCTGTCCCAGCCTCGGCTGCCAGCTGCCGCTACACTCGTACAGAAACCTTATATTTCTAAATCTCACCTCAAACTGGACATCCGGTTCCGTTGTGATGAGGACGGGAAAGTATACTGCTCTCGGGGTGAGAATCTCTAGACAGTTAAAGTTGGGGGGCATTCTCGGTAGAAAACGCATATTTCCCCACTCATCGCATAAGTCCAATTCTTCTTTCATACCAACCAGATTCAGTCTGGCCTTGATAAATTCCAAAACTAGCCTGGTATCGCAATTGGCATTTACGATAGTCTCTCTTGTATCTCCGGTTCTCACGCGAATGAAGACCATTTCAGTGATTAGACAGACGTCGAGAGAGGTAGGAGCTTAGCATGGAATGCAAACCGTAGTGCGCTAACATATAACACTAAACTGACAGCACAATAAGTGGTTGAGAACTGAAAGACACAAATTATGGCACGAGCACTTAAAGGCTTAAGAGCACTCGCAACTTGTTGTGGTCTATATTGAATAAATCCTCACAAAAAGGTATTTTGCGGGTGAACATGTTGCTGCACACGTAATCGACCTGAGTGCAATATGACCACGTTTGTTGCAAAAATATGAACTTCGTCTGTTTCATGTTCATGATTTAGTGTCTAAGTCTTGGGCTGTAATTTTCTATCGGTGCCCATTAACTTAATGCTCGTGCGTAGTAGGAACACACCCATATATAAGCTGTTGCACACCCACCTTCACATTTATTGACATAAATATAGAGAAGGTTTAATTCTTTCAGTAAAGTCCACGGTTTGAAATCAGCAATTTTTTATTTTCAACATCTTTTTAACGCAAGCAATCACATCAAATAATAAATGATTGTGACATCAAGCAAAACCAGTCATCTAGCAACGGCAGTATCCACAATTACATGGCTGTATGTTGGATTTTTTTGCTCTTCGATGGCATTTTACTTTTGCTTATCTTTTTAAGACCATGGGTGATGTAAAATACAATCAGCGACGGTATTTGACGCATAAGAATAGACGCATGATTCTGGACTCAAAATACATAAGGCTGTCCATGCTGCACTAGAATGGTGGTGCGCGAGTAGAATATTGGAACAGTTTCGCTATATGATCAGCTATGAGGGGACCGTTGGAAATGATTCGAACAGGGAACGCAAAGGCTGACAAATTGGGACTGCCTTGGACTATGTCTCAGATACCCTGCCTGTGGGGAGCGAGCATGCGAACAGCACCCGAGAAGTTTGTGTTCAATTCTAAGTAATGTTTTGTTATGAATTTGACGGATTTTTAGCGGAAAGCCTTTAGAATTACCAAGCGTAGCATTTTGGGCGCAAAGACGTTGTAGCCTCCAACATGTCAAGACATCAGCCAAATTTAATAGACAATTTACGCCGGAAATTTGAACTGCTAAGTGACGTCACAGCACAACCGCTGCACACCGGGCGACCTCCTTGGCCATTTTTTAATTGATCGCCGTTGGCAGGTCACAACATGAGCAGTACCCAGCATGCAAACTCACAAAGCTGACGCGGTAACCAGATATCCGGCGTCCTACCAGTTCAGACATGGAAATAAGCCAGTAACCGATTATCGGGCTAGCACTGGCTTTCAAACTTCTTCGCTATCATTATGATTTCAGCCCTTTGTCACGTCTCCATCAAATCCACAACCTGGTCATGTTCAACTGAGGGTTCTGGTGCGACACAATACGCCACTGGTCATTTGTGTGGTCGCTGAAAGTAGTGCTTCCTCTGCTGTTGTCGCTGTGAAGAAAAGCTCCAGACCTGCTCCCGAACTGATCTGAAGCGATGAGCTGAAGCGATTTCTCCTGATCTGAAGGAAAGAGAAGGAAAACCTGGAGCAGATCTGATCTGAAGCCGGATTGCAGAGAACATCGCATTCCAATGCCACACCCACAGACGCAAGGCCAGCGTGTGCTGAGCCATAACGACTTCGTATGGAGCCGCAGGCGTTCGCCCAAAGAGCATGGCATTGCTTCTGGAGCCGCGAGACGAATTCGTGGAAAGCGCGCAGCGTGCGACTTCCTCGCGCGGAAGAATGGTAGCCACGTGCTGCGAGGACGAGATGACTTCCAGAGACCGCTGGACAGCTCATGCCGAGACGGGTCGCTGCCGAACAGCTGCTAACGGGGCCAGTCGTGACCTGACCGCAACGGCCGAGACGCGCCGCCAGCAGACGCCTGTGCAGTCGAAACGATGCGTTGGTGACATGATTTGCTGCTGAGCCTGGCTGGGTGACCTGAGGTCGTCAGATCTAGTATAGCTGATGAAATCGTGTTCTGCCAGTCGGAATGCTTCGTGATTTGAAGGTCATCAGAATTACCTGTCTGAGATCACGGGCCTCATGACGATGGATGACAGCCCATGATGCGGGCCATGTGGGGGATGTGTTGTCGGACCAGTGATGACCGAGATAGGAGGTGGAGATGGCAATACCCTCCTATGGCTACTCACAAGACTGCATGTCGTTGTGGCGACCTGAGGTCACCAGATTCATTATTGCTGGTAAAACTGCCAGCCGCAAGTCGGGTGGAGAAGACCTTTTACATCATACATGCAGTTTATAAGAATGATCACGGCTGCGTTGTCATCTCATGGCCTGGTACTGCGATGAATGTCACTTCAGTGAGAAGGGTGACAAAGGGCACCTTATCCTTCATCACGGCTGTTCAAATCGTACGGCGTGAGTTGAGAAGCATAGCCATTTTGGATGTTTCTGAGATAAAAAACTATTCATCCTAAATTATCATCTACGCCTTTTAAGATCACCATGTGATAAAATCATCGATGGCTGATGAAATGCAATTATATCCCACATCCATATGTATAGCAAAAGCTTGTTTTTAAAAAGTTTTAATCTGACTAGTATTTAGACTAGTATTTCTGACATTGGGCACGGTTAAAACGCTATCCCATCGCAACCCACTCGAATGAAGTCAATGAGGACACCAAAATCACGACTGATGAAACGGGGTGTTGCCAGCCGAACGGTGGAGCTTGTTTCGAAAGAAATGTTTCAGATTTGTATGGGGTTTTGAAACGAAATAGCCATCCTGAGCATCGTTCGGTGCAGTTCACTTCCCTCCCTTCTTAAGACCAAAACCCACTAATTTCTGAGCAACACGCCCGCGAAAATGTGCAGGCCATTTCGGGGAGACTATTTTAAGGTCACTCAGGCATGTGCGACGTCATAATAACGTCATTCAAATCCTGTCATTCCATTAGCCATGCGGCGATCAATGCCAAGAAATATGTAATTGTGGAGTCGTTCATGTCCGGTGTTCGAGGATACGATTTCCAGACATAGCGGCAAGCGATGGGCTCTCAATCAATGATGTGCAAGGTACGACGACGTTGTCAAACAATGTCGCATTGGGAGCATATTTACTAAAGAGAGAAACTGCTTCGTCTTGAGCAGCCTTTTCCACTTAAAGCATACCAGTAGCTATTAGTGAGATTATGTCATCACACATGATGTTCATTTTAAGACCTTGAAATATGAAATTTTCCCTTTGATAGGCTCCGGAATCGAAACTGTTACAATACTCACGCATTGTTTCCCACTCATTTGAAGATTACTTTAATGATCGGAGGTCGCCAGATTCTGGCACAGTTTTAGAACACGTATGATGCGAGTCGGATAGTGCCGAGTTTTTTAATTGGGCCTGCAACTTCTAAGGACAGTGATGGCTGCCATGTGCTACGTGCAATCCGTTTCTTTTGTGTTTTTGTTTGTTACACCAATGTTTATTCCGACCACTGTACGTTCACGCGGTCATTTTTTTTAGGCAATAGGTACCCTCCATGCGTTTTTCGTCCGGAGAGCTTTCTTAAATTGCAAGCATGGCAGACGGGCAGATATGACAGCTCAGACTTAAGCACGCGATCACTGCCTGACGAGGACTTCTGAGGATACCCTTCATAAAAATGTCTGCGCACAGCCCCGGTAAACTTTACATTATCCCCCTAAGTGACGCCATCTTTTGTTGGGATGTCAACGTGGTGACCCCGGGACAAGCTGACCGCCGGTTAAGTCGCAAGGTGCTAATCGAATAAGAAGTTTCTAATGGTGTATCTTTGAGCGTCATCGAAATCTGTCTGGTAATGTCAATTGCCACCCATTTTTACCGACTCGAATGGAGGTTATCATGTTGATATAAAGTATCTTGATTTATAACATATGATGAAATGATACCTTGTAACCCAATTGGTAAAAGTATGGAGAGTATTCGCCCCACTTTCCGATTTTTGAGTCGGCCGTTTAGACAGCAGTGAACTTATGTAATGCATTGATTCCGCTGAAGGGCATTATTACGCATGTGAGCCATCAATGGCGCAGTTCCGCACGAATCTGGGGTCAGCTGTCGAAAGCTGAAACTACTTGCATCACGTGTGGGCAACGATAGGGGAGGTGGGGGGTAGTAGCCAGCTGTGTTGCGTTTTTATCGGTCTGGTGGATCATTGTTACTGGAATTCGTGAAGAATTGTGTTCTGACTTCAATCTCCAGGTAATTACAATGGTGATTTTTTGTTGGAGCGGAGCATAACAAGCGACATGTTTGGATGTATTGTAGTGCCATATGGATTTCTTTAGGGACAAGCTTCATTTCATTTAAGTGTTTATGCGTATGTAATCTTCAGTTTATATTATGACTGGAATTCAGTGCATCTAAGGAGTAGAAGATATAATGTAAATGCCCTCACTGGAATAAACTAGTATGCAAACCACAGCAAATGTACAATTAACCATCAATTATTTTCATTGATCTTGCCAGTTTTATGTCAGAATACTCAATGCTGCCATGAAAGTCAAATTAAATCATTCTGCCCCAAAGTTTTGATAAGCTCTCTAAGTTGGAATTTGTGTCCTTCCTCTGCCTTATCAAGATCCTTTCAAAATCTGCCATGGTTGGTGGACTGGGGAGCAGGCAACTTGGTGTCCACATAGTTGTGGGCAGATGTCATATATTCCTGATTGCAAGTGCTGTGTCCATTATTACTGTTCCAAATTCTGCAGAATGCCATTAAGTTATGAAATTATTATTTACAGCTTGAATATGTACTTGTTTCAGGTTTTTAGAACATTCCTAGATATGGGTGGAAAGAAGCAGCCTCGTACCAAAAATAACACACAGGTAAGATCTTCATGGTCTGCATGCTCAGTCTTTGTAGCTGGGCGTGCACTAACTCAGCTAGACATGAATAGATGCATTAATTTTGATTGCAAGTTGTGAATTTTGGCATGGTAAAATGTGTTGTATCATGTTTTGAGTCAGTCACAATATGCATTCAGTGTTTGAAATTTAACGCATGTGTTTTGAACTTATGCCAATTTAGGCATGTTGGAATATGTTGAATGTTGTTGTTGAATGATGTTTTTAATTGGTCACAATATATGCTGAATGTATGTAATTCCAAGCATGGCTGATCTGATTGCTTCTTGGATTGCAAAGGATGTTCGTCCATACATCCACGTTCATTTGAATTCTTGCATGTATGTGTTGCATTTCTCCTCATGCCTGTTTTGATGAAGAGAGCTTAAGTCATATTTGTTGGTTTGGCAAAGGATTCTATGCTATTACCCACAACCAATTAGAAGAAATCATATGGTGGCTGATGCATGTCATGATGAAAGTCTCCTGTCTGTCTTGCTGTTACAACAACTGAAAATGGCAAAATGGATATTCTGTCAGGTCCACTTGCTTTTTGGTTATTGGTAGAAGTGTGATTTTAGTACATATTAGCTGTGGTTCTTTTTTAATATGTTTTGTATACTCTGTTTATTATTAAAAAAGAATTGGACACATAGTGTGGTACACCCTTTTACCTGCACATACCCAGGGGGAAGTTCACTTCTCCTGATGGCTTTTTGAACACAGGTAAGGTATTTTGAATACAGGTACAAATCCTTGCAACAACACTAAACTTGCAGTACCTTTTCATCCATCAACGTGGCATCAAATTTTGTGCAAATTTTAAGCTTTGATCTACCAAGATCAGTGGCCTAGATCAGGTGGAAGAGGTCAGCCTTTAAAAAACTTTGACCATATGTAACTTTTTGTGGGTCATTTTCCATTGTTCAAACTTGTTACTGCAATAAAACATGACAGCACCTACAGCTCATAGCTTTCAGATTTTTTCTGAAATGTGAGGTCAGCAACCTGAAGTCAGGTCATGTGAATATTTGCTATTTTCATCAATAATGGAAATTTGTGTACATTCTTGTGTGGTTTCATTGTTGGTACATGGTAAAAGAGTGTTAACATATATGCACAACCATAACATGACCACAGACAACATGACCTTGGTCCAGGTGATGACCTACCTCTATAGGTACCTTCTGCAAAACACATGCTAAGCTCAAAATAGGCAGACTGTTAAGGTAATTTTGGATGCAGAATTTGAATGCTCTACTGAAAACATATTTTGATGTTCTTATGCATCATGAGGTCATAATGGGTCATGTGAGGGTATGCAAGGTCATGTGAGGTACTCCAAAGTGAATGACCTATGTTGTTAGTAGTGGAGAGGCTAGATGAACAAGTGTGGTGTGTGTGTAATCTTGTCTAAAGTGTGTTTGTGAACCTGATGGCATATAATTTCCTATACCTACATACCTGTTCTCAGTGTGTTTCAGATACAATTCCAAGCCTTGAATGGGCTATGTATAACATGGACAATAGCTGTGTGTTCTTGGGGACCTGTAGATTATGATACACTATTTTTGACCACAGAAGGGCATTGTGCCAGTCACATGGACCCAGTTACCACTTGATTTTTTTTATTTCAATATATGTCAGTGATATAATGTTAAGGAAAGCAGGTGGTATGTTACCCAATGTTGATAAGGTTGACCCAAATCAACCGCAGATGACCTCGTGGTCGGCCCAGAATGGTATCTTATGTCTGAATTATTTTTGCCTCGCAGCTACATCTAACAAAATAAACTTAGTCAGAAGCACATCGTGAAAAAGTATCGTTCTTGTAGGCTACTGGTGAACCTATTTTGAATGGTGACCTAATCTGACCTGACCAAAGTGGGGGAACTGAAATGGTTGAACTGCGCTGGACACAGTGTTACCCTTATTTCCGTGCTCTCAGTACCCGTCTTGACATGTTAACATAGGTTTTAGCTATATGTAGGAACGACTGTTTTTTTACCTTTCGTGACCTTTGGTGGCCTCCCAACTGACCTAAGATAAAAATTTGACGTGCATTCTTGGTGATTAGACGAGACTTTGACAACGGTATCCTTGTTTTTCTCATACGGCGTCTAGAAGTTGGAGGTCCTGGAGAAAAGCCGACTCCCCGGCCGAGCGCGGTTGTCTCAGACCCCCGGCCGGGTGTGGGTTAATAGGACACCAGAAACTGAATTGGCCGTAGTAGCTCTTAAAAAACATGGTGCAATCAGAATTAGAATCTTGACTTCCTATATGGGAGGTGTAGACACGAACCACTTAAACACTATACCCCCTCCAAGTCATATATTGCTAATGAGCAGAGGGCCGGGGATTATAAAAGTTAAATCACTGTAAGACATGTCACATCGCTTTTGTGTTGTCTTTTATTTGCATGATGAAACATCCAGTCTGTGTCTGAAGATTAGATATGTGACTTCAGCGTGTTCCACCTGCTTTGCTCAACATAGAATGCTAGTTCAATGTTCAATTTCTGACAGTTATACGCATGTGCTAAAAGCCTACAACCCTCACACAATCTGCTGTTCATTCACAGCCTTCAAGCAGCGACAGGCACGCCCAGCGCCTGGGAACTGACCAGCTGATTGGGTTCAGTGCACTCAGTGACCTGGGCTATGTGCCCGCACCAGTGGGTGGGGCACAGGATGAGGGCAGTAGTGGAGCTGTCTCCGGCCAGATGCGTGCAGTGCTGAAGAAGATGGCGAAAAAAGATGCGACCACGAAGTCAAAGGTACTGCGCTTACGTCCTGTATCGCAGTGAGATGCCAATCAATAATTTGTGTGCTGCTTTGGAAGATAATTTTCAACTATTGTTTGCTGAAAATGTTGTGTTTTTTAAACGTCTTCCCATATTTATGTTGTAAGTCGGGCATTCAATTTGTTTACAAAGCTGGTTGGAGGAAGACCGTGTGTTCCAACCTTAATAACGCCATGTCCATGACACCCCACAAACATGTGTCTTCCGCAGGCCACACAAGAGTTTACTGAGCTCTGTGACAGTCACAGCCTTGACGACGTCAAGCTGGCTCTGCCATTCTGGCCCAGGCTGTACCGCAAGCTGGCGACAGACGTTGACAAGTAAGCCCACGCAGCAGACTGGCAGCAGGATTACGGTGTGTCATTAGCTGCTTAACTTGCCCAGTGACAGCAGTAACTGCACACGGTGTGGGAACGTTCGGTCATAAGTGAACGTATTTGAACTGCGATCGCACCACCGTTCATGACCGCACGTGCCCGCAGGCTCACTCCGCCCCGTGGGGTGTACGTTGTGGTGGCGCCAGGCGTATGTTGGGGGCCGGTCTGTGGCCTGAGCGGAGCGGTGAGCTCGTGGAAGACGGTCAGCAGCCGTGGCCGGGCGAGACATAGTGCCGAACGGTGGCTAGTTGCCTATGTCCACGGAAGCACAGCTCAGTATGGCCGCTATGCCGCGTAATGGACCTGTCTCCAAATATACGCTCCGTAGCGCAGAGCATGGGCTGTGCACCATGCGCGTAGGGAACGTCGACCTCGCGTGGCGAAGGCCAACAGGTGAAATGTTTGAGTCGCTGGAAGAGAACAGGAAAGGAATGTGATCCCTTAAGCATGAGAATGCCGCAAGTACAGACGTGATGTCCGAGCTCAAGAGCATCCAATGGCATTGAAATGTCTTTCGAAGGACTACTGGAAGGCCCCATGAATATGGCATAAAAGTGAGCGGATCCTTTGTCTATATGAAAACAACATCGGGTAGCTAGGAATCGATATTTTGAATCGAGACAAGCAAACTGAACGTTTTCAAAAGAGCGTCGGAGCAAGCCAGCGCCGTACTGCGGCTCCGGAGTACCAGGCTGACGGGCTGGAGCGATTCAGTCGCGCGACATGTTAACCTTTTGGGAGCGATCACGTAGGCAACCGCAGACAGGGAAAGACGCTGACGCTCTTGCGGGCACCTTTATTCTCTAGAACTTTCCCGACGGACAAGAATGTTATAAGGGCTGCCTACTTAGTCATTCGTCAGCCTCGGAATGAGAACACAGTCATATGTTTCAACACCAAAACACTCAGGAACGCCCGTTATGAAGATTGGTCGGATTGTTTCTGAGAAGGTCGGACGTAAAGAGTGGACTGTATGTTAATCAGTCTCTCACAGCCCCCAAGAGAGCAATTTCAGACAAATTGTCTCAGCTGAAGACTCATAAGCGTATGAGTCCGCCGCTCGCGAGAGACGCATCCCGCGTGTCAGCTGCACTCAGAGGGAGCCGCTCGTCGCTCGAGCGTCCTCCCGGCGACGGTTTGACGGCTCCCCGCTGTAGCGCTGCGGCGCCGGCTGGGCTGCCGGCTAATGGGCCGTCCGTGCCGTGGTTATGAACGACCGCTGCATGACATGGTTTCCAGTGGTACAACGCGTGTCTTTACGTTTTTCGGCCAGTTCGGCCGGTTATTGGTACTGAATTTTCGATTGATGCTTGAGTCAGCACTACGCCTCAACTCCAGCTGATGCCGTTAATAAGTGGTGGTGCTTCAAAAGTGCGGATAAAAAAGATGAGTTGACGCCGTGGGAGCAAGACTGCGTACTGGTATCCGTCATTGCATTAATTCAACATTAAGCATCACTATACCTGATGTAGTTCTGATTGTGCCATGCTGCTTAGCCTCCGATAAAAGGAATGAGCCCATGTGTGTGGCCAGACCGTGATAATAACATAAAAGATTGACATGACAGCGGCTCGTTCCAGATCATCAAGCTATGAGTGGTTGCATGCCCACGTGAACAAGCACAATGTTAGCAGACGCTTAACACGCGCTCGGGGGTCAATTCCCCCCCCCCCCCAAAGGTTTTCCGGAGTGGTCTCCGAACGGCGCGGCATAGCCGCGCCAACTTTGGCATGGCTGCAGACAATTGAATAGTGGATCATGTGGTGTAAAAAATTTAGATATACCTTGTAAGGTCGCTAACCTACGGCAGGTCAAAGTCAGGCCATAGATTCAGTGGAGACAATTTAATTTGATGCAACAGCGGAATGTTAGAGAAAGCCATAGCTCTCTGCTATAGTTTCTTAAGCAACACGACAATGGCATGAACAAATGTCTTAAACGCATGGTCACGTATGAAGGTCAGACGAAGGTCAAAGCCAGCATGTTTTATTGCTCTAGAGCTTGCTGTATGGAGCAGTTTCTGTTGCTATTTTGATTTTTTACATTGTTTGACCGAATTGGACCCCAAGGTCATGACCTAGGAACCTGATCTTCTTGCAGAAGTGAATTGACACACAGGACATTACATCCTGCCAATTTGGTGTATCTAGCTTTCTTAGTCTCTGAGATCTGGATGGTCAACTTGATCCCCACCCGAGCAAAGAATATTCAACCGACCACCCGGGCGCGTGTTAATGAAATGCATAAGCAGCTGATCACCTTAACTTTCTGTTTTCATTGCGCACCGATAAAAATCTTTGAGTCGTCTTATCATGCTGTGTACCAACCTGTGTATCGCACCGCTGCTGTACCTGCTCGTGTGTGCCGGTGTGCTGCATGGGGGCGCCCTCGCCCGGCCGCGCGCCGCTGACCGCCGACGTTTCCAGCCGCGTCCGCGAGATGTCGCACGTGGCGCTGCAGCGGCTGCTGCTGCGCGTGCGCAAGGCGGCCACGCCACACATGGCCGAGCTGGTGCCGGTCTGGCTGTGCTCACAGAACGACCCGTACCCGCCGGCGGCCACGGCCGCGCGCCGCGCCTTCCAGGTGCGTGCTGGCGCCGCGACCGGGCCTGGTCCGTGGCGGGTGGGTGTGGGTACTGGGGGTCACCTCCGCGCCTAAGTCACCACTGGGCCTTCCAGGTGCGTGCTGGTGCCGCGACCGGGTCAGGTCCGCGGCAGATGAGGGTGGGCGCTGGGGGTCACCTCCGCGCCTGAGCCATTGCGTCACGCCAGCGCCTCTGCTAACTGCTGGCATGTGAACTAAGAGCGCTCTCACTGGCCCCGGCCCTCGGCATCAGCTCTGTAGCAGTTCCTGCGTAGTGGTGAAGACAATAGCCGGGTTATTACCTCGCTCACGGAGACCCTGAGGTCTGCGGCTTGCGATTTGCTATGCGGACTTTTGTGTTTCAGAATGTGTTTTCTGTACCTGAGAAACAATCTGGTGCTGTGAAGTTCTGCTACTCAAGCGTCCTAGCATACGTTAAGGAGGGTCTGTATGACCAGACGCCCCAGACATACTCAGATCCCAGGTCAGTGATGTGGAATGTTTGAATAAAAGCGCAGCGACGCAGAGTATGCAGTTTGCGAATTTGAACGCGTCTCGCACTGTCCGGGTGTTTTACGTGGTCGTGAACAGAAACGCGAATGTGTGATAGCTTGTCTGTCCACGGGCTGCTGGACCTAATGCAGTCCAGGGCCAGGATGTGCACGCTGGGGTCCTTGCGATGGCATTGTCTGCGACTTGTTTGGGAGACAGCATGTCGGGGGAGATGAGCCAGGGACCGCCCTCTGCCGACATCATCCCCACCAGTATCCTCCAGTTTCACACGTGGAGGAGAGGCAAATGACGCCCCCTCCGGGTGGTCTGCCCCCATAGTGTGATGTCGGTGGATGAGCCGGAGGCGCGGTTTGTCCGCCCACTGACCGACTGGTCTACTCCCCACAGTGTGATGTCGGTAGATGAGCTGGAGGCACGGTTTGTCCGCCCACTGACCGACTGGTCTACTCCCCACAGTGTGATGTCGGTAGATGAGCTGGAGGCACGGTTTGTCCGCCTGCTGACCGGCTGTCTCTCGGGACTACGCGAGCTGCTGGAGCTCCTCCCCGAGGACCCCGAGGACGCCAGGGGAGCCTCGTCTGACCAGCCTCTTGCCGACATTGTCACACACAACAAGTTCGTCAAGCTAGCCAAGCACAGCCACCCGCAGGTGAGGAGGCCAACATGGCTCGCTCGTCGTCTCTGCCTGCCGCACGGTGGCAATATTTGGCCGCTTAGATGACAAGGATGTCGATGTTTTTCATACTGTTGTGCCCCCGGCCCGGGCTCAGCGCTTGGACTGCTTCTTTGCCTCGCTCAGGGTTGGCTTGTCAGCATTGGGCCGGCTGGCAGTCAACCTGGGATCTAGGTGCTTCTGGCCTGGCAAATGTTGCGAGCGGGTCATAATGTCAGGGTTCGGGGTCAAAGGGCAACAGGCAAAGAGCAGCCGCCGCCCCGCCAGCGGAGCCTCGCACGGCCGGCGGCGGCCGGGGAGCCAGCAGTCCGATAGCATGAATTTATGTTGACACCCGGGACATCCAGCTAGATGGATGTCGGGCCTCCGGTCGGCCGGGTCCGTGGCGGCGTCTCACCCGTGCCGCCCGTGCAGGTGCGCCGCTGGTGGTTCTGCCTGGTGTCGCGCTTCTGCGCCCGTCGGCCCGGTCTGGTGGCGGCCGCCGGAGCCCGGCTGGCGCCCGCCGCGCTGCACGCGCTGAACGAGCGCGACCCGGCCGTGCTGACGGACACGTGGGACGCGGCCATCTGCCTCGTCACTACCGTGCCGGTACGCCTCCCCCCCCCTCCCTCCCACTTTCGCCCTAACCGGGGGGCGCCCCCCCCCCCTCGCGAGTCGCAGCCAGTGGGAGTGTCGCATCAATCGTTCTGGATTGAGAGATCCAGTTGTCTCGTTGGGCATTGGTGTTCTTTTCTTTTGTCGGATTTGGGGAGATAGTGACGCGAAAAGACGGGAAGCAGGGCGTAGCCACAAGTTTGGTTTCAGATGAGTTTTGTTGCGCACGGGTTGTCCTCGTATGATTCAACTGCGTCGTTGCGTCACTTGCGCCTGGTCCACCACCTGCCTGTGTATTATGGGTGCACGCTGCAATCGTACGAGCAGAAACCACTGTTGCCCCGCGTTTGCCGGTCCCACCACCGCTCGCGTGCCCCCGTGCGTGCGCCTGAGTCCGCACGGGGTGCTCCCGCAGGACTGCTGGAGCCTGGTGAACGTGCGGAAGGCGGTGCTGCCGCAGCTGTGGACGGTGCTGCGGGAGGGCGGCCGGGGCTGCGCCGTCACCCTTCACCCACTCATGATCGTGCTGCTCTCGAGGCTGCCGCAGGACGCGGCCGGTGATCCGGACGAGCTCCACCGGCTCTTCCTCTCCAGCATGTACCAGGGGTGAGGTGACCCACAGCCCCACCCGTCCCCAAGCCTCGATGGATGACGTGAGATAAGCACGCGGCTCGGCTGGCGGGAAAACACGACCGCTGCTCGGCTGCTACCCTCTGGACGGAACGGCGTTGGCAAAATGGCGTGCGCGCGATGCCTTTGGGGGTCGATGTACCACAAATAGCATGCGGGCGTGCGGCAAAGCCAGAGTCGAAGCTCGCTAAGCACAAGTGGTCTTTATTACGCAGCGTTGGCCAAGCCAGCCTGACCCTCGCATTGCTTATGAATCCGCAGTTCAAATGATCCATACTTCTGCACGCGTTATTCATCGTTGTTTGTTTCACGCGTCTTGGATTCGGCTTACTTTTGCTCTCTGTGCCCACGATCGAACACGGTGCGGCGGCCGACCGACTCTCCCAGCAAGGGCACGGCCTGAGCCGCTGCAGGGTGTGACGGGGAAGTCTTGGCACTCTATTAAAAATACGATGGGCGAAGGACGCAGCTCGCGGGCCTGCCAGGCTCCTCTGCGGGCCGCTGCTGGAGTAGTGTCACGTCCTACGTAGACCGGTCGGGTCGGTAACGGACCACACGGCTCAGACGAACCAAAGCCTGAGCGCGCCCGCTGGGCCCGGGCGGGATGCGCTCCGGCGGAGGACGTCCATATGCTGGACGCTGGCGGTATGTGCGCCGGGTGGACCGTGGCGCGACTGAACTGGTCCTCGCCGCGGATGTGTCGTGGTCTGGCGGAGTTAGCCGCTACCCCTGATGAGCTGCCGCGTGACCGGTGTGACCCTCCTCGCCAGACTGAGTGCCGACCGCGTGACCCAGAGCGCCCGCGAGGTGTCCGTTATTGTGCGCTCGCTGCTGGAGTGCGCCCTGTACCTGCTTCGCCAGGGCTGTTCGGAGCCCGTCGTCGCCGTCATTGTCGATCAGGTGAGCTGTGCTGGTCTGCCACCATGTGGCAGTGACATTGCTGCATCACGGTTCGTCATTGTTATTCGTGCAGTGGAGGCATCTGATACAAGTTTTACAGAAGGGTTTAGGCAAGGTATTAGTACCACGAGTGGGATAATTGTTCGGACCACCGTCCCCATCTGGTGCGTCAGTATGTACGTTGCACACACAACGTCTCGGTCCGTTGATCCATCGGCTATCGTGTACGCTGTGCCGAAACGTCGCATGCATAATAACACCAGGCGGAGACGTAATCTCGGGCAATTATTCCTTTCGTTACATCGGTTCTGCGCAAATGTGTCAGCTGCTTTGTTATGGAATTTGTGCTGGGATGCGTCCATCCATCTCAGCGATTCGCTGATATATTGTTCTTGTAGGCTACGGACTTACACTGCGTGGCATTGATCTTTGGAAAACTTGAGATACAGTCCATGTGGGCTACGGTTTTGTCCTGCGTGATTTTGTTTCCAGGTGATATAGATTACCTGCCAAAATTATACCGCTAGCATTATGTTTAATAATCGTTATGCGACATAACAACAACAATAGAGCATTATGCCACTTCATCCAGTGGCATCCTTTCGCTCCGCAACTCACTGAACGCAACGGCCACTCGTGTATTGCCTGCCAATCGCGTTTACCACCATGAACTTTCCTGCTTACAATTTCCACGATTCTCAGTCGCTCTGCTTTACCGCCGCACGTCGTCTGTGGTGTTACCCGGCGCGACTCTTTAACTAAGCTGTGACTTCCTACCGTCCCACGCGGCTGTGACCCGGCCTCGTCGTGCCCTGTCCGCTGACGCGAGTCCCGTCCCACAGCTGTGCGCCGTCACCAGTGACGTCATCGCCGGCGAGCTGCGCGCCGTGTCTGGCCACGTGCTGCCGCCGCTGTCCGCCGGCCTCAACCAGCTGTACAGTCTGGCGGCGGACGGTGCGGGCGCCGCCGCCGCCGCCGCCGACGCTCAGCGTCCGGTACTGGGCCGCGCTGGAGCGGGCGCTGCTGCGCGAGCACCTGGCGGCGCCGGACCGTTGCGCCGCCGCCGTCGACCTGCTGCTGGCGGCGGCGAGCGGCGCCGCCGAGCCAGCCGCCGACGGGCGCGCGCGGGTGACGTTCTCCGACGCGCCGCCGGCGGAGCGGCCGCCGCCGGCGCCGGCTCGGCCATCGCCGCTGGCGCGCGCCGCCGGCTCGCCGCTGCAGGAGTGCGCGGCGCGCGCCGGCCAGCGGCTGATGGACGCGGTGCGCGCGGCCGCGGCCAGCGCCACCGAGCGTCGCCAGCTGGCGCGTCTGCTGGTGGGCGTGCCGGGCGTGGCCGAGCGGGTGGCGCGGCCGCCGGGCGGCGGCGAGCCCGGCCCGGCTCTCTACCGCGACCTGGTGCGGCCGGAGCTGGAGGCGGGCCGCAGCGAGCTACCCGTGCAGCTGCTCGCCACCGTGTACCGGCTCTGCAGCCGCCAGGAGCGCAGCCAGCTGGCACTGGACGTGACGCGGGTACGGCGGCCCCGGGGGAAGCGCGCGCGCTGGTCGGCCTTGGTTGCCAGCGGGCGCGGTTGTGTGCGGCGTGGTGGCGGCCAGGTCGTTGACCATCAAGTATCATGCGCGTGTTTCGCAGCGTGCATGATGCAGTTGGCACCACGTCCGCTGCGACTTGCATGATGCCACTTGGTCGACCAGGTCGGCCGGGTCGTGCACAATACGGCAGCGTGCATAATGAGTGCCGAGTTTAGGAGGCAGGTCGTTGTAAAGCCACTTGACAGGTGGCAGAAAATCCGAGAACTAGTCGCGTCAGTATGTGCCGAATCCTCCCAGTGAATCATGCGATCTGTCGTTCCGCAAAACAGACATCAGCCATCGCTTATAAGCCCATTCAGATGGACCTAGCAAATGTTTTCCCGCGTTGATAAGTTGTGTAGTATATAGCGTGACGTGTGTGCCCGATCACCATCACCACTCGGGGTGCGTCTGTAGCACGGACAGAGTACAGACTGTGTACCTGGACCGCCAGTCCCGCGCGGCAGCGAGCTGACGCGCCGACCTGCCCGCCGCCGGCAGGAGGGTCACATGTCCATGGTGCTGGAGCTGCTGCGTCTGATGGAGCGGTCAGGCCCGGCCGCCGACCCTGAGCTGGCCAGCTGGGCCGTGTCCGACCAGCTGCACGCGGCAGTCCTGGCCGCCGTCACCGCCACTAGCGACTCTGGCGGCGATCAGTGGCAACACACGCTTCAGGCCATTCCGCTGCTGTTGAAGGATCACGGCAAGAGTGGCCCTACAGGTGCGTTAGGACGCAGCTAGTGTCGTTTCCTTCATAGAGTCAGAACATGGGAGTTTTCTCCTCCAAGAATCCTCTAAGCTCTTGCATTCTCACAGGACTTCATTTTCGTTTTCTGCCAATCTGCACGTTCGTTGACAAGTCCGATATGCGTCGTGGTGGCGTCTTTGTGTCACACTTGGTGATTTGTTGTTACCGTTGCCTATTGTTTCTCTTAGTGTCATGTGATATTTGTATGTAGACTTCGCTCGCCTGAGCGTTCCCTGGGAGCGGGGCTAGAGAGTGTCGTCCCCTCCCTCGGCAGCCTCGGACCCGGCCGCCAGTCTGCTCACTGCCGTCACGGAGCGGCTGCAGACGGAGGGCGCCGCCGGCAGCTGGCGGTTCGAGCAGCTGGCCGCCCTGCTGGCGCCCGGCTGCCGCTGCTCGGCGTCCCTGCTGCGCGCGCACGCCGCTGGCCTGGCCGCCGCCGGCTCGGTGGCGGCGCTGGGCGCGCTGCAGGCGCGGCTGGCCGTGCTGGAGCCGGCTGCCGACGCTGTGCTGGCCGCCCAGCTGCGCTCCGCGCTGGCCGGCGCGGGCGCTGAGCCGCAACAGCGCCGGCTGCGCGCGGTCACGCTGGGCTGGGCGCGGCTGCTGGGCGACGCCCGCTTCTGCCCGCTGCTGGCCGACCTGCTGCCGGATGGCTGGGCGGCGGACGCGCGGCGCCCGGCGGCGCAGCTGCACCTGCTGCTCCAGCGGCGTGTCAGCCTGCGGCCGCCGCCGGCCGCGACCCTGGCACCGGCTGGCGAGCGGCCGGCCGGCCTGCCCGCCCACCTGCGCTGCCTGCTGCTGGAGCTGGCCGCCCTCTGGCCGGACGCCGAGCCGGCGGCGGCGGCGGCGGCGGCGCAATACCTGCCCGACCTGCTGGCCGCCCACGTGACCGAGGCTGGCGCCGCCCGCCTGGCCGGCGGCCCCACCGACGACGCCGACGGCCTGGAGACGGCCGAGAGTCAGCTGGCGCAGCTGGTGACGTCGCTGTCGGCCGAGCAGCGGGAGGCGCTGCTGCAGGCGGTCACTGACCGGTCAGTCCCGCCCCCGGCAACCGCGGCCGTACGAGGCGGCGGCCTCGCGTGGTGGCGGCAGAAACTGTGGCCCATGATGACAGTGATCCCAGCGATGCGCGCGCATTACTCACAGTGACGCGTTTCTTATTCCCATTCTACCGGTGCGACGGTCGTGTTACTGCTGAAACTTTGCGCGGTAAAGTTTCAGCAGTAACGTGACAGTTTCTGAAACGTAGTAGTGCTGTGGCTATGCAGCATTCATTTTCCCGTGCCATGTACGCGTGTTCTTGTGTTCTTCAATGAGCCATGTCGCCGGGTCAGTGTCCGACCTGTGGCGCCCCTGCCTGACGGTGTGTCGCCTCTGCCGGCCACAGGGCGCTGTCCGGCGCGGATGGCGTCGACGCGGACGCCCTGGCGCTGCTGCTGCGACTGTCCGGCGCCGAGCCCGACACGCTGGCCGGCCGCCTGCAGGACAGCGTCGAGCTGATGCTGGTGAGGGCGCTGCGGTCAGCCGCGACGCTGCAGCAGCTGTAGCAGGCTGCGGCGGGGAAACACCGCCGACGCGTTTTCCTGTATACGAAACGTGATCTGGTCATAGTGTGATGCAGTATGTACGCAATGAATCCACCTGTGCGAATGAATGCTGTCCGTGTAATGTCACTTTCCATAGCATTCAACTGGCTCTGTCGCTGTCTGCTGTCGCTCTCTTGCTCAGGATAAGGTGGGCAGCGAGCGTAGCGAGGATGGAAGTCGTATGTCTGCGTCGCCGGGTCAGTGGACGGGCGTGCGCCGCCTCTGCCGTCCGTCCCGCCTCTGCTGTCGATGTGTGTGTTGTGTAACCACCTCGGCTGGCCGGCCGCTGACCGAACGCACCGCGCTGTTCAGCCGTCGGTGCCGCTGCTGCCGGACGCGGCGCTGCTGCGGCTGCTGGAGTCGGCGGCCGGTGACGGGCCTGGGCCGGCTGACGCTGGCCGCCGCCGCCCTGCGCCAGCTGGCCGCTCGTCATGACGCCGACTGGACGGTGGTGGAGGCCGGCGGCGCGGCGCTGGCTCTGCTGGACGCCGTGGTGCGGGCCCGCGACGACGGCCAGCTTCCCTGCTCGTGGTGAGTGGCGCCCCCCGACGCCGGCGCCGCGCTCCGTCGCTGCACTCTGAGCAGTGGCGAGGCGCGCCAGATGTTCCGATACTGATCATTAGTGCTGTTAGATGCTTCGGCGGGTAGAGAACCAAATACCGACCGAGGTGAACGTCATTGAGGCTGGTATGCTGTTAAGAAGTCGCTTAAATTTTTGAACCCTGTTTCTCAGTTTCTGGCCATGCAATGCCACGCATGCTTAGCAGCTCGAGTATATTATTTTTGTACATATTTTAGTGTGCAGAAGCTAGCAGAACAGCGAACAGAAACCAAGGGAAAATTTCCGGTTGTATGTCGGCCTGTCTGATGTGTCGCTTGTACAATACAGTTAGCCGTGTGATCCGGCATGCCATGTCCACCGTCAGCTGACTGGATCCCCGTGCAGGGAGGAGGCCGACGCCGACTGGACGCGGCTCACCCAGAACGTGTCCGTGCTGCACTTCTTCGATGCGCTGCTGGAGCATTGCGCGTGCCTGCTGGAGTCCACCCACTGGGACCTGCTGCTGCTCTCCGTCTCCTCTTGGGTGGCCGGGCTACAGGTGAGGCCCGCCGGCGGCCAGCGCTCAGGTCGGGCGGCCTGAAACGCCGACGGCTCCGGCGGCTATCCTGGCGCCCGTCAACTGGCTGTACTGCCTGTATGTGTAGCGATCGATAAGTTTGGTGATAAATGCTTACTCTTTTAAATATGGGTGTTAGTTGGCACCTGCTGTTTGTACCTCTTCCGCTCACTGGTGGGGAGTGACGACACCTGTAGCGCTCTGTCGGCAGTGGTGCCCGGGGTCGCCGGGAGTGTAGCCACACGCATCACGGGTGGCCTATGTTGAGCCGCATCAGCTGCTGTGTCCACCTGTCTGTTGTGCTCACCTCTGACCTGCGCTGACCTCTGACCCGTGCTCACCTCTGACCTGTGCTGACCTCTGACCAGTGGTGACCTTCTGACCCGTGCCTTCTTCTGACTCGTGCTGGCTTCTACCATGCGTACCTCTGACCCGTGCTGACCTCGGGCCTCCGACCTGTGCTGACCTTGGACCTCTAACCCGTGCTGGCCTCGGATCTCTGGTCCGTGCTGACCTCGGATCTCTGATCCATGGCGACCCATGCCCCGTGCTGACCTGCGCCCTGTGCTGATCTCCGCCTGGCTGACCTCCGCCCTGGGCTGACCTCTGACCGGCGGTGACCTGGGCCGTTGCAGGAAGGCGCGGACCTGCGCCGCGCGTCGGTGGGCCGGTCCGTGCTGCTGCACGCCCTCTGCCGGACCGCAGAGGCCGTGCGACGCGCCGTGCTGCACCAGGCTGACCAGAACCGCCAACTGGTAACCGAGTGGGACGAGCTGTTCTGCCCGGAGTGGCACCGCTCCCTGCTCACCGTGTTCGCGGTCATGGCGGTTGGTGAGTCGAAGATCAGCTGCTGCCGGGGCACAGCGACGCTTTGTCGGGGCTGTGGGCTCAACTTCCTCGTGCTCAGTAGCGGCGCGCGTGGTTGGTTGCGCTAGCTAGGTGTTCTAGCGATCGAGCTGTTTGGTATTGGGTTGGTAGTATTTCCGTTGTGTGTTTTTTAATCGGAATGATATTTCGTTCCGTGACCGTGCGCGTGCCCTTAGAACAAGATGTGCGTGCCCTAAGAAAGAGCACGATGTGTGCGCGCCTTTAGAACACGGCGTGCTTGTGCCCTTAGAACACGATGTGCGCGCTCCCTTAGAACACGATGTGCGTGCGCCCTTAGAACGCGATGTGTGCGCTTCGTGTCACCATGTGAACACCAGCCGTGTTGTGTGTTGTGCGCACCGCCTGACGCGTCGATGCCTCCTCGAAGCTCGCCCCGGTGTCTGGCTCACGGCCCGGTCGGGTGACCTGTGCTGGACGCCTCGGGCACTGACGGGTCGTGTGGCTGACGTTCCAGGCGCGCCGGCGGCCGACGCCAGTCCGCTGTTCTGCGAGACCTTGGCAGCAGTCTGTGGCGCTGTGCTGCACGCGCCCGGCGTTGTGCTGCTGCACCACGCCCTGCCCGCGCGGGTGGATCCCGACCTGGACGAGAGCCACCTGTCGGCCGATTTTATAACATTGCTTTCGTGGTGGCGCCGCCTGCTGACGGCCCCGCGCCGCTGCGTCCAGTTGGTGGCCTGGCGAACCATGCACAGGCGAGTGACGGTCGGTTCACGTGGCAGACCTCGGCTAGCGGTTCTGGTATCCAGCGGTGCACATCGTAGTGATAAATTAAGAATGCCTTGAGGGAGCATATTTATTGCATTTTGCCTTTGGCTCTCTGGGAAAATTATGATGTCACGAATTATGCATTTTTTCTCTGTCGACGGTGGACTTTGTGGCGCCCTGCAGATCGTGGCGCTTGGTTTGTGTTGCATAGTGGGAACGTTCGCTATATATATTGATAGGAATTATAACTTAATCTGGGCGAAGGCACGCAAAGGATACAATGGTTTATGTTATGTGCCTACTTGTGGTTACGTTGATGGTTTTAATCAGACAGGTCCCACGGCCATTTTGACAAAGCTGGGATGGTCGTCGCAGGTTTTTGCCAAATCTGGCCGAAGCCGAGCAGAGTCGTCCGTACCAGGAGGACGGCAGGGACGACCCCAAGCTGGCCCTGCCGACCCTCTTCAGGCTGATCACGAGCCAGGTAAGGGTCCTAAGCTGGCAGGCCGTGTCCAGTGCTGTGAAGTGTGACGAGCTCAGCGTTGCCGCGAGCTCTGTGTGGGGAGGGGCTTCTTGACGTGTGTGTGGGAGGTTCTGGAGCCGTCGCCGTGCGGCGGGGCGCGGAGGTGACCGGCCGCTGCCGTGGCAGACGGAGCCGCTGGTGTCAGGCCTGCTGTCGGACCTGGCCGCCGGTCAGACCTGCCTGGTGGACCCCAGCCACGAGTCGCACTGTGTGGTGCTGACTCACCTGATGGCCGTGGCACCTGGCCATCTCGTACGCCGGACACCTGGACACGGCCCGCAAGGTCATGACAGCCGAGGCGCTCAGGTCAGTCGGTTGGCGGGTCCTGTCGCGGTGGCCAGGCGGTCGCTGCTGAGGTGGTCAGCCCTCCTAGCCAAGCACGGCCAGTTTGGAAACCACTGGGGCTAGGCGAATGCAGCTGCTCTGACTGTCCCAATAGACTGGATAGTGTTGCTGGTGCTCTGTGTGCATGCCACTTTCACGGAGCGTGGTGTTGCCTTCGTCTGTTGTCACCTCAACACCGGTGCAGACCTGCGGGTGGGCGTGTGTAAGAGGCGTGGTTATCTTGCAGGGAGGATGGCCTCTTGGACAACCTTCTTCAGCAGCTGTTCTCTCTGATGCCCGACTCCCCGGAGGTGCCCGAGTCCTACGCCGACACCCACAAGTCCTACTTTGAGCTGGAGCCGATTTTCGATTTGTCAGGTAAATGCACCAGTCTTGAAAAAATCCGCGTTTTAACAGCCTTTGGACTTTGTGGCGTGGGTTGTCATGTCTTACTGATATATAACACCATTCCATGGCTCACAACTTCGAGGTTTATAGATTCATGCGGTGTCAATAAAAGCGATGTCTCGCACACGCCGCTGGTGGACATGACAACTTGTTTTTTTTACAAACTTAAGGTCAGTTTGAGGACGGCACAGCTGTTGGTAGGTGTTGGTCATCGTATGTATTGCGCTATGTCTCTAGTTGTGTTCATGGCTGATCGGATGGTATGTAGCTACCCAGTCCCTGTGCTCTAAAACCTTAAGGATGAATCCGATGTATTTGATGTTGGTCTCTCTACAATGCGCTATGATGTCTCATGCCTTCAAGCAGCCACATTAATCGCCAATCAGCCCATCCTTTGCGTAGTTTAAGAAAACTTTGCTTCCGTGTTTGCGCGTGCGGTCAACACTGCCTGCGGCCGTGCGCAAGGGTGTAGCGCTTGGTTCATGACCTCTCAGCGTGTCCCGCGTCGGTCGGAGTTTCCAGCCCATTCCGTGGCCTCCCTACGCGCCGTGTCTGTCAGCAGGTCCTGCTTATCCTCAGATCCCCCTTCGGTGACCCACACCCGTCCACAGCGTTGGCCATCTACGTGCGCAGGTCGCGGCTCTGTGACCCCCCCCCCCCCCTCTGCAGGGTCCGGCTCCACCTGTGACCTCCCCATGTCTGCAGGGTCTGGCTCCACCTGTGACCTCCCCTGTCTGCGGGGTCTGGCTCCACCTGTGACCTCCCCCTGTCTGTAGGGTCCGGCTCCACCTGTGACCTCCCCATGTCTGCAGGGTCTGGCGCTCGATCTGTGACCTCCCCATGTCTGCAGGGTCCGGCTCGGCCGAGGAGGTGCACCACTGGGCGTGCAGGACGTACGCCGAGCTCCTGCGTCAGCTGCCGGTGCTGGCCCGCTCCTGGCGCTCGAGCTGCGAGCGGGCGCTGGCGCTGCGTGTGGAGCGGCTCACGGCTGACCACGTCAGTCCGCTGCTGCTGGCCGAGGAGTTCGGTCGCCTGCAGGCCGCCGACAAGGCCATCGACAATATGACGGTGAGCGGCGGCGGACCCCGGAGGGGACAGCGGACCACTGCCGGCCGGCGGCGGTCGCTGGAGGGGACCACGGACCGCCGCCTTCCGGCGGCGCTCACTGGCGGGGACGGCAGGACCGCTGCCGGTCGGCGGCGCTCGCTGGAGGGGACCGCGGACCGCCTCCGGCCGGCGGCGCTCGCTGGAGGGGACAGCGGATCGCTGCCGGCCGGCGGCGTTCACCGGAGGGGTCCAGTAACGATGGCTGATTGGGGTGAGCTGGAAGGCTTTCTTAGCTGGCGTGCGATGCTCGCGGTCCTCTGCGTGCATTGATGTGTCCGGCAGGGTCGGCTTTCTCGGAAGCACACGCAGGTACAGAAGTGGCGGTCTTCGCAGTAGTGTTGTTTTCTTATTTGTGCTATGCAGAACGCGGTGTTGGTCCCCAGTGTCGTTCGCGCTCCTTTTCCCTTGGTGCTGAGGACAAATTGACCAGTGTTGCCATTCCAATGTGTCTCTCTTCCCCCTGTTCCCAAAGAGAGCATCCGCGGGATCATCTCTCGCGTCTCTGCCCTGCGCCTCTTTCATCCCCTTATCTCCCGCGGCACCTCTCCGCGCGCCCGTCGCCGCCGCTCGGCGCCTGCCGTGCACCACGCATGAAGCGCCGTCGCTCGGGTCGGCCGGCTGTACGTGCCCCGCCGTGCGGCAGGTGCGGGCGCGCCCCTCCGTGCGCGAGGTGTCGGCCGTGTACGCCATGGAGGAGGTCAGCACCGAGCTAGTGGTCAAGCTGCCGACCGACTACCCGCTCGGCCACGTTGTGGCAGGACGCTGCCGGCCGGCGCGTTGGCGTGGCCGCTGGACAGTGGCGCATGTGGATGCTCCAGCTCACCACCTTCCTCACGCACCAGGTGAGTGGCGCGCGGGCCGGGCGTGCCGGGGGACGGCTGACTCAGGGGTGTGCCGCGGGATGGCTGGACTCAGAGGGCGTGCCGCGGGGACGGTGGACTCAGAGGGCGTGCCGTGGGGACGGTGGAGAGGAGGCGTGCCGCGGGGACGGGTGGACTCAGAGGGCGTGCGGGGACAGGGGGACGGGTTGGACTCAGAGGGCGTGCCGCGGGGACGGTGGCTCAGGGGCGTGCCGTGGGGACGGTGGACTCAGAGGGCGTGCCGCGGGGACGGGGGACTCAGAGGGTGTCCGGGGGACGGGGGACTCAGGGGTGTGCCGTGGGGACGGCTGGGCTCAGAGGGCGTGCCGCGGGGACGGGTAGACTCAGAGGGCGTGCCGCGGGGATGGCTGGACTCAGAGGGCGTGCCGCGGGGACGGGTGGACTCAGAGGGCGTGCCGCGGGGACGAGTGGACTCAGAGGGCGTGCCGCGGGGACGGGTGGACTCAGAGGGCGTGCCGCGGGGACGAGTGGACTCAGAGGGCGTACCGCGGGGACGGGTGGATTCAGAGGGGGTGCCGCGGAGAGAGGTGGACTCAGGGCGTGCCGCGGGGACGGGTTGGCTCAGAGCCGCGCTGCGGGGACGGGTGGACTCAGGGCGTGCCGCGGGGACGGGTGGACTCAGAGGGCGTGCGGAGACGGGTGGACTCAGAGGGCGTGCCGCGGGGACGGGTGGACTCAGAGGGCGTACCGCGGGGACGGGTGGACTCAGAGGGCGTACCGCGGGGACGGGTGGACTCAGAGGGCGCGTCGTGGGGACGGGTGGTTTGGGACTGCCTGTGGACAGATGTTTGGAGATTCTGACGATGGGGTGAATCAGTTTGCTCCTTGTGATGGGATGTGTGAAGGCTGGTATCGTGGGTTACGCTGGGCGGAGCTATGATAGGGTGGCTTGTGATGAACATGTTATGATATAGATAGCCGTTATTTTGAATTTGCTATCATCCGAACTTAAGTTTGATGTTGGCTCTGTGGTAAGCCAGTCTAACTTCATAGTATCACAACTGTGCAAGTGGGGGGATAATCATGATGACCAAGTTGAAACGCTCTGTTTCTGAGGTCTTCTGTCACTAGCCACTGCCCACGTGTTGCTCTTCGATTAAAAGCGTCGAAGAGCGGGGTGTGGATGTCAGCGCGACCCGAGTTGGAACCTGACAGTCGTGCATACCTCTGCTTTGTCTGAACGCGCGTCCTTTCAGAACGGCAGCGTTCTGGACGGCCTACTTCTCTGGAAACAGAACATCGACAAGCGCTTCCAGGGTGTGGAGGAGTGCAACATCTGCTTCTATGTGCTGCACGGCAGCAACTACCAGCTGCCGAAGCTGGCCTGCCGCAACTGCAAGAAACGCTTCCACCCCGCGTGTCTGGTGAGTTGCGCTGGCGAGGACGCGGCTGCGAAGCGGCACCTTCGCGGGGCATTGCGCGGGGTTGCGATGCTTCGTACGCCGTTGTCCAAGGGTGCATCAAACACTGATACACGGGTATGAGGATTTAAGCATTGCATATGCTTGATATGCTCGAAGTGAATATCAAACACTAGCATGCATTCACTTGTGGTGGCTGGTTTATTTTACTTTTTTGCTAATTTGTTGTTCCTGTCATGTTTGCTTCACTTCGCTCTGCACAGAAAGCACGAGAGTTGTGGAATTTGTGTGACATTCGACATCACCACCTTCCCTGTCGTGTGGTACGTTTTGAGGCCGCCAAATTCAGCACACGTTTCTGGTCCTGACGGCGCCAGACGCGTGACAGGGTTACGTGCCTACGCCGCCTTCAGGTCTCACTGATATCGCGTGGTCAGGACAGTAGAGAACTTTTGGTCTTGGAGTGGCCAATGAAAGCTGATGACTGTTTTGATGCATTCTTGGCTTCCGAGCATCGCAATGAAATAGAGTCAATGCCACAATGCTGCTTGCGAGCGAACTCTGTATGGAACTACCGTTGGAAGCATATGACACATTCGAAATTAATCCATCTGATGTAGTCATATTATATATATATATATATATATATATATATATATATATATATATATAGTTAAACCCATATAATATATGGCAAGCCAGATATTGTACTGATATGTATTTGTATATGTGTGTGGTTCGAACACGATGTAGGAGCCGCTTCCGGCTGGCTTACCTAGACCTGGGTGAGTCACGCGGACATATGAGCTGGACGCTGCGGTGCCTTTGCCGTCATTGGCATTAGCGACTACAATATGGATCATGATGCGATGTTATGGATGTGAGGTTGTGGTGCAGTACGGTCATTTCCGCTCGCGTCTTCGGACACGTGGCTGCTGCATGCCGCCATAAACTGCCGGCCCGTCGGCCGTTGTTGTGTGCTTCGCTGCATGTGTGGACGCGGCTCGATAATCGCGGTCGACGTCACGCTATCAGCCGGCTCCGCTCATAGCTGAGCGGTCCAAAGGGGCGCTGTATCTTAATGATCACGTGACATGCACGCGTGCGCTTACGAAGTGTACTGGTCCAGCCGGGAAGAGGATCTGCGGTGGTGTGCCGTGGTATCTATGTCTGTGTGCACCACCGGGCTGGCGTCGCCGTGTTACGTGGTATAACGCCTCTGGTCCGACGTTACCCGGCTACGTCTTGTGACTCACCCAGTGCCACCATGTCCAAATAAGCCGGCGTCACTTGGCTACCTCGTGTGACTCGCCCAGTGCCACTATGTGCAAATAAGCCGGTGTCGCCCGGCCACCATACGCGACTCACCCAGTGTCACCTGTCCAAACCCCCCGGTGTCACAGCCCCCTGCTCGATTCAGCCGGTGTCACCCGGCCACCTCTCGTGACTCATCCAGTGTCACCCTGTCCGAATCACCCGGTGTCACCTGGCCGTCTGTTGGACTCACCTGGTGTCACCCGGCCGCCTGTTGGACTCAACTGGTGTCACCCGGCCGCCTCCGTCCGCAGTACAAATGGTTCAACACGAGCAGCAAGAGCACCTGCCCCATGTGCCGCCAGCTGTTCTGAGTCCGCTGAGACGGTTCTGCGGATCGACCTGGGGTCGCGACGGACGTACGCCGCGTGACCGGGGCCGGTCTTACTGGGTGGCGCGTTACTGTTAGCCACGAGAGTTTCGAGGAATATATTTCGCACGGTGCTGTGTCTGCACGCTTGCGGTCGCGTGAGATAATATACGGGCGGGTAATGACGGTGTGTTGGGTGTGGAAACAGAGCACTTTCATCAGCCGACCAGAGCTGCAGCCGCTGTACATGAGCGGCGTGCCTAGCGGGTGCCACACGCGGTGTCACGAACTCTGCCGTGCGCTCGAAGTCCTCAGACTAATCAGAGTTATGTTACTCTTCGCTACGGAGCGGATGATCGCAGAGTAGCAAATTATTCAAAATGTAGTGGCTCCATCGCAAACACATAGCGAGTCGTCTTTGCTGGTTCTGGTTAATACCCGACTAGATGCCAAAACTCAGCCCATCCTGCGTGCGCTGTGGCCGATGCCGGTATGGGACGGGAGTCAATGTAGGCCGTGGGCCGTCACCAAGCTTGAAGCCGTCGCATGTGCAGATATCACGGCTATCCCCCAGCCGTCCGTGACGCGCGTCTGGCTAAAGGAGTGTACAACGGACATGCAGGCTTACGCTTGTAAATTAGCTAATGACATTATCTAACAAGGGCATTACATGAAATCTGGTATAGTTTCCCTGCACATCGCAAGATACTGTATTTGTATTCTACTGACAAGGGATATAGTTTACCACCCCCGTTTCGACTCGGGAAAAATTATCCTAATGGGTTATTGATTCATTAGAACATGTGACGCTACTTTGCCATGAACGTGATTATTGGAGCCCATGTCGTCACGCCCAGTGTCAAGTGCATGGGACCAGCGCGGCGCAAAGTGATGTATACTGTGCAATGTACATGTATGATCAAGTAGTCCGCGTATCTTCCCCAGCTTACTTTTGATGACGCCCCCGCCTGACCGCTGTATAATTAGATACCTCCCTCAAATGTGTAACTGTTCCGTCGCTGTGGGTAAACTGATGTGAAATTAGTAACCATTTCTCCCAGGCAAGCTTGCTACAGTGTGGAAGTGAGAGCGAACGCACTCCAGCGCACAAATGATCCGCAGTGGCGAGCTCACATAGCCGAGCCGCTCCCGTCCGGCCAGAGTACGCAGGGAATGACATGGAGCACTCTGCCGTCACATGCCGTCACATGCCGTCACATGCTGTCACACGCCGCAGAATGGTCCTGGTCCGGCTATTGGACCGGACCAGACCGGACGGGCCCGCGCGGGGCTGGACCGATGTCACGCAGCGGTCAGAACGCCGGCTGATGCCGAGTCAAATATCCGGCCCGGCTGCCGGCATCCGCCCCCGCGAACGTCCACGACTTTGCCAACCACACCGCGGCAAGTAAGGTCCACTTCCGACGCTTAAAGTCATCACGGCCAGCATTTCAGCGGGGAAAGATTGGAAGTAATTGCGTCCCGGTTAGGGTCAGGAAGATTAATCACTGTGTTCCAGCTGGGAGCGGAACTGTGTGCCCATTGTATCGTTCACAGATTGCTTGCACAAATTACTTCCGTAAGGCGAATAACTAGCCATGTTGTGCGCGCTGCGCTGGGCTGTTTATATGACCGGGACTCGGTGGAGCAGGTGCTCCGCATCAGGCGGGGGACTTTCTCCAAGGGAGGGGATCCGAGAGCTTTCAGGGGGAGGGGAGACCACGATATAACCAGATCTTGTGTGAGGCAAGGACCGTAACCGCCCAGGCAACGCCAATAGGCAGGCACTGGCTGGGTGTTGCTACATGCACTGAGTTGAAAATGTTTGTTATGGTAGCAAAAAAGGGTGACGTCTTCGCTTACGTGGAGTATAGCCACTAGCGAGACCACCTAGTTCAATTCTGCGATGGGATTTGTGTGGCCTGTGCGAGCGATGTGTGGAGCAGTTTTCTAGATCTCTGAGCCGCCCACATGACCCTATCCGCATAAGAGGTAAGAACGAGTATGAACTATGTTATTGTTGTTGTTTGGCTCGGGAAGTACCATGTTAACAACCTATCCTAAGGGCGAAATAGAGATGAGTAGACTGGAAAGTACTGCGCTTGGTACTTAAAGGTCGTGGGATGCCAGGAGCGCGGTATCATACGTGAGAGGTGCAGAAGCTTCCAGAAAAGGCATTTATAATATCTATCAATTTAAGTTGCATGATTGCAGCTCTCGAGCACAGACGACTCCAAGCATACAAATAGCATGATTTTTTGCCTGGCGTGAGCACGTTTCCAGAGTACTTCTGAAGAACGGTCGTGAACGGACTGTTTGGTTGGCTTTTGTGCGACAGGATGCTGAATACCGGTTGGCTTGTCGACAGTCGTCGGGAGTGTGACGCCGCCACGCAACTCTCGCCTCCCTCGTGACCCCGCGTCCCAAGCGGAGCTCGGTGTCCGCTGTCCGTTCTACAGCTGCACCACTACGGCACGCGTGATCCCATGGCCATGCTTCCCAGCGACGTTGCCGTTTGGAGAAGCTGCCGTTGCCGTCCCGGTCGAGCCTCCGCGCCGGTCCGGTCCGGGCCGGTCAGTGAGAGAGTCCCGGACTGCCGTGTCTTCAAGGACAGCCGAACACGCCGGTCAGTGAGGGAGTCCTGGACTGCCGTGTCGTCGGGGACGGCCGGCCAGCGGACCCCGCCGTGAGGCCGCCGCCCCCGGCGCCGACCGACCGCAGCCCAGACGGAAGCCGTCGGTGCATGGCCGGCTGGAGCGCCTGGCGCGGCGGTCGATCAGCGGACTCTCTACCGCATGCTCAGTATATACTCCTGCTGTTGTTGTTTTTCACCGTGCTGTTTTCACTGTGTTGTCAGTGACCGAAGCAAGTCACTGCTGACGTTATCAGCACCTTCACCACATCCACTTCCACTTTGCTTTCACTAGTGCCTTAGGTGACAGCCGTCTGTGGTGACGAAAGTTTTGTTGGGTTCCGACAGCCGAAGCCCGATGATAAGATCATTTTGTCATTAAGGTAGATGTATGAACTACTTATATGCCCTATTTATGGGTGTAATCGATGTTCCTTTCATGTACCTTCCGCTCCAAGCAACATTGATGGTTGAATTGTTGCGTAAAATGTTGGTGTTGATACTCTGGAAAACCGACATGACCTGCGGCAATTGCGCGTCGTAACTATAAGGCACCACCTTGATAGTCATCAGGCAGGGGCTAGAAGTGCGTGACATTATGCTACTATGCGCCATCACAACTTGATTAGCTAGATGGTGGGGCGACATTGCCTTTGGCTGCTATGGCTCCTAAGGGAAACATTACTTTCTCGGAGGGCGTCATTCCACATGTAATGCTCCATCCCGAAGGACCTGCGTGCATGCTAATACGGTTCATGCAATCCAATACTGAAATGTAATGTGGGGCCAGGGACTCGCACGGCGGTGGGGCGGATGGCCCGTGCAGGTTGTCTCTAGCGTTAGGGGGAAGAGCAGTGAAATGGCAGCCAGCACAGTGATTGTCCTGACTGTTGACAGGGCGTGATCTATTCATCTATCAATCTAACGGAGGTTGATCTAATGTGTTGCGTTCAGCATCGTTTTGATCGAATATAATTGCTATGTTTCGCTGCTCATTTTCCGGGATGTGGGATGCTGAGGCTCTTCTACGGTGGAGACGACCGCCAGCCAACCGGGCGTCACACCATTAACGTGGCAGGTGGAGTCCCAGCCTGATCCCGACCTTGTGTGACAGGTGGAGTCCCAGTCTGATCCCGACCGTGTGTGGCAGGTGGAGTCCCAGTATGATCCCGACCGTGTGTGGCAGGTGGAGTCCCAGGCTGACCCCTACCTTTTGTGGCAGGTGAGTCCAGTCTGATCCCGACCGTGTGTGGCAGGTGGAGTCCCAGTCTGATCCCGACCTTTTGTGGCAGGTGGAGTCCCAGTCTGGTTCCGACCGTGTGTAGGAGTTGAAGTCCCAGTCTGATCCCGACCGTGTGTGGCAGGTGGAGTCCCAGTCGGACCACGAACTGGTGTGGCAGGTGGAGTCCCAGTCGGACCTCGACCGTGTGTGGCAGGTGGAGTCCCAGTCGGACCCCGAATGTGTGTAGGAGGTGAAGTCCCAGTCGGGCCTCGACCGTGTATAGCAGGTGGAGTCCCAGTTGTATTCCGAATTTGTCTCTCGATTTAGAGGTCCTTGAGGCACGTTCGAACGTCGTGATGCACAAGGTCTGGTCCTCTGCCAAGGGGTAAGCATCTCAGAATGTCATTGACCTTTCAGCTGATAACAGATTCAAGCACACAAGTCACGAATGAGGTCTGGAAATGCGGGCACGGATGCAAGACAAAGTTTCGTTGTTGGGTGATCTGCCGACAAATCCACCACGAACCTTCCCTCAAGGGACCAAGCGAGTAGTCAACATTTCTGTGAGGTTTTGTACTGAAATAGCGATCTGAAGACCTTTCGGTGCTGTTCACAATCCTGTTCTTAAGACCTAAGCACTTTAAGTTTCTGAGCATCGATTTTCAGGCCCGCAAAAATGGGGAAAGGTATATCGAGGAGAGTATTTCAAAGTCACCTGAGCACTCATGACGTCATTATAACGTCATTTAACTCTTGCCATTCTATAAGGCATACGGCAATCAAGACCAAAAATACAATTGTCGATTCGTTTATATATGGCGTTGGTGAGTGCAATTTCCAGATAGAGTGGCCGTCATGTGGCTTTAACCAATGCTGTGCAAGGTGCGATGGTTGCAATCAAACCATGACGTAAAGAGGGGCATATTTACTTAACAGAGAGTCGTGCTGTCTACAGCAGTCTTTTCCACTTGAAAGCATGCCAATAGTTATGCGTGAGCTTATTTCGTCATATCTGATGTTTGCTTCGATATATTTAGCTGTGAAGCATTCCGTTTCAATTCAGTTTCACAGCCATCAGCTCTGAACCCAACAGGTGTTTGGTACTATTTTTATTAGTAATACAACTGTCTTCTGCCTAGCGGATCTGCATCTGATGAAAAAAACGCCAAACATTGTACAATCGACAAAGACACTTGGGACTGGCGCATGCGTCCGGCCCCCGTCACATCGTCTACTGAAGTCCGCCTGCTTCAGCACTACTCGGCGTCACATGGCAATAACGCCACTTAACAGCCCGCGCTCAACGTGGCGCCTTGGTG